ATGAACTGAAAAAAACTGTTTTTCATAGACTAGGACCGGACCGGACTAGATGTTTATAGTCCAGGGACTGAACTCAGAATTTTGAGTCCATACGGAGTTCTGCTATATATATGTATGTATCTATGTATATTTGTGGAAGTCACCATGGCATATGATTTTTACTCCGATTTGGTGGACGTGTCCACGGCGAATTTTTGTTTTCTAGACCGTTCCAGTAAAAAGAGTTGTTTACATAGATTAGCGTTAATAGCATTATCAAATATTTTATGGAGTATATCATTTCAAGAGGACTATCAACCATTGCTAATACAAAAATCTCCATTAATATCAAATAAATTAATGGCTATCTGTGAAGCATGTATTTTAGCTGCTGATAAATCATACGCAGCACATTATATGGAAAATATTCGAATGGCATTCAATGGTATATCTTCCAATCTCGGACTGAAGGTACTGCAATAACCACTAGTGCACATAGCTCGTAAGTTTCTTAGAAAGAAATTAATATGCTAAGACAAGCTGAAAAATTAAAGTTTTGCACTAAATTAGAGACAAAAATTTGTTTAATTCTATAAAAATTTGAAAGGCCTATAAACGGACATCAGATTCCTGATCAACATTAAAAGTTATCCCAGAAAAAGTATAGTTCAGCAACAAAGCTTTTAATGAGTTAGCGAGGTTTCTTGTTGGCAGTATCTCTACCGGTCCCTAATACACGGTAGGGAAAAAAGTGTGTACCTGATACATTCCGCAGTGTGCATGGAGCCAGTGTGTAAGTTACACACCGAGCAAGGCATTATCTGTGTGGTATTTTTGCAATGCGAAATATTCCTAAAATGCAATTTGTCAGTGTGTAAATTACGTATTCGACAAGCAATTCTCGTTGAGTGCATTTGGTCCATCTTTATTGTCCGTGTACTTTTGTGACCATATGCTGTGGACGAACGAAGACATCAGCTGCTTTAACAGATCGATTACCATTTTTGGAAGAATTGGCAGATGGTATAGTATCACAGTTCTTTGGTGTTTCTTCGGAGCTCTTCCTCAGAGCTTTTTAAAATCTATTTTCAATTCGGAAACGCACGATTTTAACGAAAACTTAGTCAGTAGTTGTCATGATAGAAAATTTGACTCAGAAAATTAACTTATTTAAAAAGTAACACAGTAGTACACTACACGTATTACTGCTTTCAAGTTTTTCTCTTTCATATCAAGTTGCTCAAGAATAGATTCGATTCTATTAAAGAATAAATTTCTGTTTTTGTGCCTAATCTAAAATGTTATTTTCGTTATATCACTTGAAGGATGTCCATGTTAATTCATCTAAAAAACAAACGAAGCAACCATCATCATCGTCACTACCACCGGTAACGTCAGCAAGTTCAATAAACCGACAAACCAACACAAAACCAATAATTATGATTAGTTATGCGCATGATAAAAGTTTCGTATCGCAAGAACAATTACTAAATCAAACACAAATCTTTAATGTTTGGATTGATAAACAAAATGCTAATTCTGTCGGCGATGTTTGGGAACAAATTGCCAACGGCATTAAACAATCACATCTTCTTATAACAATATTAACAAAAAAATATTATGAAAGTCGGTCGTGTAGATAAGAAATAACATATGCAATTGATAGATTAAAGAAAACAATTATCCCAGTTCTATTACAAGAGGAGAAAATGCCTGGATGGCTAGGTAAATTTTCACTTATCTATCGTCTAGAATCAGTGTAGTAACGGTGGAAATCAAGGATCAGACTGAGCACTATTCTCGCCTGGATTGCGACTAGAATAAAATTAATAGAAAATGTTTTCTCGAGCTATAATTGTCACCCCAATTTGTGCGATATGAAAACCACTTAGGCGTAATTCTGTCGGTACTGTCGCACACTTTGAACGGAGATCTGACAATTGTGATAGGTCTCATTTGAAGAAGCATTCAATTCTGAGTAAGAATGCATCATTTAAAAAATTTAAAAACATTGGCATGGGGTTCTGGGACTGTCCGACATTTGGGGATATTATAAGTTCCAAGACGCAATTCATACCTAATTATTTCATAAATGACACAAGCGACAAATCTGAACGCTTTAGGATATAGCCTAGAGACAACAAGAAATAAAATGACTCGTTTAAAAATATTTCAAAATGCTTCACTGCTCTACTGTACTTGTTCTAAAATGGTCAAAACTATGAAAATCCGTCGTACTGAGATGCGTTTTTCACCATGAAATCGAATTGTAAACTCAAAAGTAATATGTACATCAGATTTCTCGTCATCACTTCTATCTGGAAATATAGTTTTTGATTCTCCATATTGCTCCTGTAAGTCTGCTGAGAGCTATCTTTGACAAGCATTACGGCACTTATTTGTTTTTTGATGGTCCAACTTGGTCATTCTTTAACTTAAAAACGTGAAAGATTTATCATTTTGTGACGAAATGAACGTTCTGTCTAATGGTATGTTTAAAGACCTTTTCGATGTACTTTGCAGTTGGTCGATTTTCTAGAAAATCCGGCATTTCCAAGATCTATATCTCAGAAACTGGAGATAAGATATTGGGATCGCAGTTGATGCATATGTTTCAAAACGTGTAGAGTTCGAAAATATGCATTGAAGTCAACAAAAATGGGAAAAACGTAGTGAAAAATAGCTTTTAAAGACCATCAAAACTCAAATAAGTGCCGTAATACTTGTGAAAGATGACTCTCAGGGGACTTACAGAAGTGATGTGGACAATTAAAAACTAACGCTATATCTTAAAACGTTCAGATTTGTCGCTTTTGTCATTTCGGAGATAATTAGGTATGAATTGCGTTTTGGAACCTATAAAAGATGCAAGACGGTAATACTAGATGAGTCTACAGCCTCAGACATTTTTCGACGAAGGATAGAATCTCTTCTTCTCAAACTTTACTGCTAAATTGAATATTCATTCTCGACGCCATTTACTTCCATGCAGAAACTGGAGGGGCATAAAGCTTGTTTTACAAAAAATAACGAGATTAATCTGAAAATTCGGCGGGCAAGCTAGCTGCAAATTCAAAAACCCTTACTTCT